ATTATTAGAGTTTTTAAGATATTAATATCTATACTTAGACTAAAAGTATTTAATTTTAACTTTATCTTATAGTATTAAAAGTTCAGATATAGACTATTAATTATATTCTTAGAAAAATTATATAATCTAGTTATATATTATCTAATCTTAGGATATACCCTTATTTATAGTAAAACTAATAAAAAAAAAATAAGCTTTAAGTTAGAAAGAAAAGATAGTTATTATTATTAAATAATAAGCTTCCCCTCTTAGGGGCTATAGCTATAGCTGGGGTATTTATATATCTAGCTATACTATATAAATACCTCCTATTACTAGAGTTTTTATAAGATTAATATCTATACCTAGACTAAAAGTATAATATTTTAACTTTATCTTATAGTATTAAAGGTTTAGATATAGACTACTAATTATATTATTAAAAAATATATATTAGATTATATATTATCTAATCTTAGAATATATTCTTATTTATAGTAAAACTAATAAAAGAAATATCTTTTAATTATTATATAGTAATTAAGATAAGATAATTATCTAAATAAGAGTTATTAAAATATAATAATTAGATAATTTATACTATATAGAGTCTAAGATAGATTAAGAGTATAATTAAGTAGAATTATTCTAAGTAGAGTAATTAGATTATCTTGATACTATATAAGTTACTATTAATATATAAATACTAAGAAGCTAATTTTAATAAAGATAGTAATAATTATATTATAAATACTTTTATTAATAACTATCTAAAAGAATATCTAAATAAATAAAATAAATATATATATATATACTAAGGTTATTACTTATTTATTAGTTATTAATAAACTTTCCTTATACTATAAAATATTAGGGAATATATACTATAGTATTTTAGATACTCTCTCTTCTTAATTATAAGTATAAAGATATATAATAGTATAAGTTAATTATACTCTAAATTTTAACTATTAAGTTAGCTATTTAGAATAGCTTGTTAAAGCTTTTACAAGATAGTAGCTAGGACCTATATATATATTCTAATTTAGCGTGAGGATATATTACCTAAATTCCAGCGCGAAGGTAATATAGCTATTTTCACACTATTCTTATTACTAGCTAACTATCTTTAAGACAGCTAGTCCCCTGCCTGCGCTCCTAGGCTGTGATACTCTCTATAGCGATCTCCCTAAAGCCTTGCAACTTCTTGCTCGTGCTTAAAGGAGGCCTCGCGAAGCTAGATGCCTTGTGTGGTTGCTCTCAACACCCTGCACTTCCCTGGACTACCCATGCCCTGCAGGGCATACATCCTCCCATCCTTCCATCCCCCTCCATGGGTCTGGGCAATCTATTCATGTCTCCACTCTGACCCTTACCTCGATTGCAGGGCATGCATAGACCATGTACAAAGTTGACCCTACCCTCCACCCTCAAATTTCACTATGATGTCTTGCTATAAGCTTTTTGTGCAGCTACAATTATGCCAAGGGTAACGAATATCCACGAGAAACTATGGGGGGAACTATAAGCGATTGGCAACGCTGAAGGCAAAGTACGAATCCTACGAATGTCGTTAACAAGCTCTTCCCTATTACGCCCCAGTCAGAATGAACATTTAATGTTCGAAGTAACTATGTAGAGATTTCATAGGTCTCCTTTCTATGTAATCAAAGTTTCACCTGCTATCTGAGCTTCTATACATAGGCACGAGCAGGTAACATACTGCATGATAGCACGGACAAAAGTCATCAGCCCCCGCGATGTCATATTCGGATTATATAGAAAACTCTTTTTTCAACTACAACTGCGAGTTTTACATGGTTCCAGTAAGCCCAGAGCTGGCCGAGATGAACTGCGCTGTAATCCACCTTGCCTTTTCACTCGCAACCCAGGCCACCACATCTGCTATATCCTCTGGATCCGCAAGACGATCAGAGCCTCTTTGCTTAGCTTTCAATAACTCCGTAAAATCTACCCCAAGGACCTTATTAGTCTCCATGAGCAAGTCAGTCTTGACAGGACCTGGAGCAACTGTGTTGACCGTAATGTCATGGGTCCGACCAAGCTCTTGGGCCAAAATTTCCGTCATACTGTCTAGGGCTGCCTTGCTGATGAGATAGCTACCCAGTCCACTTGCGCCCATTTTGGACCCTGCCGTGCCGATGTTGATGATGCGGCCGCCTTGTGGCATCTTCCCTTGTTCAACGACGGCTTGCGCCATGTAGAGAGGCCCAAACGTATTGAGGGCAAAGCTCCAGCCCAGCTCTTCCGGTGATACATCCAGAAGACGTCCAAGTTTATTTCCTCCCGCGTTGTTTACTGTTTTATATGGTCAGCTTCGCTCTTCTTATTCAGGTAAACTTATGACTTGCCAAGAATGTCGATGTTATCGACCCCGAATGCTTCCAATGTAGCAGCCACGATTTTCTTCGCGCCGTCTGCCAAACTGACATCCGCTTGGACCACAGTTGCCTTGCCTCCATTGTCGCGAATCCCCTGCGCTACTTTGGCGGCTCGTGAGGCTGAGGAGTCTGAGACATAGTGGATGGTAACCGCAGCACCGTTGCGGGCAAGTGCTCGAGCAATAGCTGCCCCAATGCCATTTTCACGACCAGAGCCGGTAACAATCGCGACTTTAGAAGCCAATGAAAGTGTGTCTGGCGACATGATGGCATGTACGGGCGTGTGAATATGAAAGAAAGTTTTGAAAGTGGAATATAAAGATTGTTCGTTGCAAGCTACGAGCACCCGGGGGCCATGGCCGAGTTATATGTTGGCCAGCCCTTATTAGGGTTTTTGGCGGCGTTAATGCCTACGCCTAGGCTGTATGTGTGGAATTTTAAGTTTTAATAGTGTAAAGGTTTGGGTATAGATCGTAATTTATGTAAAAAAGCTGTGTGACGTAAACCATGTGTGTGGCCTGACCTTGGGATATCCCTTGCTTACGGCATTAGCTAAAACAAATAAAGATTGTTCACAAGTTGCGGGCGCTGATCTGTTTGCTGCATTAACTTTTAACAGATGATGAACAATTACTCGAGAAGAATTTTCTCTATTTTATAGCTGCCCCTCTATGAGATCGCGACCGCGGAACGCTTATGCCTAACACCCAGAGATTGATTCTCAGTAATATTAGAGACGGAACTTTTAGTTGTACAATAAGGCGTCAAACTCTTACAACGCTACCAATGAAGTTTGGAACAGCATGCCTGTGGGGCGGGCTGCAATTGCTTCCAAAGCAGCCCTCGTCCAACAGAGGTTCCGTCATGGCAGCCACGACAGGTGACATACGTCTTCTGCGTCCACTAACTTTCAGTCTAAGTAAAGTCTATAGGCCGTGAATTTTATACTCCGCTTTCGTCATACCAAATGAGGAAGTGGGTTAGATAGTCCTCGCCCTAGTGCTGGCTGATAGGATGGTGGTTCCATTTTGTCAGCATAGTTCCTTGGAACCGCCTTCACATTAGTAACCACCATCCCATTGCTCCACACAAACTGCAGACTATAACTCCCTTTCCGTCCCCGAGAAAGTCCAGTCTGAGCTCAAAAGTGTTCCGACTTTAATAGTATTGCTCAATACTTTCGCTCGGGTCTATACTAGGAGCTGGACCATATAATAGATATCAGGTTAGGATTAGAATCTTAATAAATTTTAAAAGAAAAAAAAAATTAAGCCTAGAATTAAGAAATTAAAAATATAAAAATAAACTATTAATTTTTATTAACTCTAAAATTAAGAAATTAAAAATATAAAAATAAATTATTAATTTTTATTAATTTTAAAATTAAGAAATTAAAAGTATAAAATTAATAGAAAATAAATATTAATTTTTATTAATTCTTATTAGAAAGCTTTTCTAAAGTATATACTGTTAAGATTTACCCTATAGACTATAGAGTAGATCAGGTTACCCTATTAGTAATTCTATAATAATTCCTAGTAGAATTTATTAAAATTTAATAAGTAAATTTTTATATTAATAAAAAGTAGAAAGTAGAATCTATTACTAAGGGTTTATTAATCTATTAATTAGAAATTTAAATAACTCTATAAAAAATATCTATTTATTTAGTATTTAATTAATATTTCTAATATTTCTATTAGAAATATTATTTATTTAATATCTTAGTAAGATTTTAATTAGAAATCTAATTAAACTAGATCTTATTAAAATCCTTATTTATACTATTTATTATTTTTAAAACCTATTTTACTAATATATTTAATCTTAATACTATATAATTTATAGTATTATACTAAATATAATAGAGCTATTTATTTATCTTATTTAATATTTATTTATTATCTATAAGTAGTATTAATATACTTATATTAATAAAAAGATAGAATTTTATTTTTAAAATTAATATTTATTATTTATAGTAATTTAAAAAAAGAAAATTAAAATAATTATATAAGCTATTAATAAGCTTATATAGAATTAGAAGAAACTATATAATTATATATTATTATAATATATTATAGAGCTAGTACTATATATCTCTCTATTTAGAACTAATAAATTATAATACTAAATATATTAATATATTATCTATATAGAGTAAGAGATATATACTTATCTATAGAAAGAGTATAATTAGAATAGTAATTAGAAGAAAGATAATAATATTAGAAAGAAAATAATAGAGATTTATAACTAGCTATAGATAAGTAGTATATATTATTAATAGTTCTTTTCTTAAAGAGCTATAAGTAGCTAGTTTAGAATTAATATAATTAAAGAGATTATTAATTCTATTAATTATCTATAGTTTAAATTAATTATAAAAAAAGTATAAAAACTCTTTAAAAAAGAAATAGCTAAAGAGAAATATAAGATATAAATAATAATTTAAATTAGAAATAATTAGTTTAAATCTAATAAATAGTTTAAATTTATTAGCTAGATAATATATCTATAGGAGCTCTCTATTATTAAGCTCTATAGTATAAGATAGAATATTTAGAATAATAAGATAGTATTATAATTAGTATAGAAAGTAATAGAGTATATATTTAACTAGATATAAATAACTATAATAGCTATTAAAATAAGTAAAACTATATTATTTAAAATAGTTTAAATTACTTTAGAAGGAAAATCTAATTAGTTATTTAATAATAAAATAAAAAAGAATATATAGAAATAGTATATAAATATATTTAGATAGTTACTATATATTATATATTATATAAATAAAATAATTAATAATAAATAATTATTATTTATCTTTATAATAATATAAGATAATTATTAGAATAAATTTATTAAGATTATATTTAATAAATATAAATAATAGAGTAATTAGTTTAATTAAAATAAATAGAATTTATATCTAATTATAATAATTAGTTAGTTTAATTATATATTAAAGAGAGATATATATTAAAATATACTAATAAGTAGTTTAATTATTATAAATATCTAGAAAAATAGAAAATAAGAATTTATACTTAATTATATATAGATCTATTTAGTTATAATTAAAATAGTATAAATACTTATACTATATTAATTATATTATAAGTAGAAAATATAAATAATATAGTACTTATAGATAATAGATATAGATAATATATATAAAGAAGTAAAGAGTATATTCTATATACTATATAGTAAAATAGTATAATTTATAATATAAATATATAGAAAGCTTATAATTAAATTAATATTATTAAACTAGATCTTTAAGATATAAATATATAGAATAAATATTTATTATAATATACTAAGTAGTAATAGTATTAAGTAATTAGATAATTATATAAACTATAGAATAATCTAGTTCTAGATATTATAACTAATAGAGATACTATATATATTTATATAAAAGATAGAGAAACTACTTAGAGTACTAATACTAAATATAATAGATATAGTAAATAGATTTCTAAAGATTAGATAGAAATAGTTTAAAAATAACTAGTAGTATAATATAATAAGTTATTTATTTCTATAGAATAAGTATAATATATAGTTATAAATAGAAAATAGCTAGATATTTAAATAGTTTATATAGTTTATATTACTATAAAAGATATAGATTAATATAAATATTAATAATAATAAATATCTATTTAAATAAAGTACTATTTACTAATATATTAATATATTACTATAGTTCTAAAAGTAGATATTCTTATTAATATATATATTATTAATACTAATATATATAATAGAGATTAATAGAATATAGATATAAAATATAACTAATAGTAAACTATAGAATATCTTCTATAGCTAGAATATATTATTCTTTATAATAATATATTATAAGAATATCTAAATTAATAGTTATAATAAGATAATTTATTACTATTTACTATATATAATTAGTTCTCTACTAATATAGTATATATAGTTAGTTTTACTATTCTAATAGAAGATATAAAGTATTATTAAATAGTATAATAATAGATCTAGTATATTTCTCTAAGTAGATAAAATAATAAAGAAAATAATTAATATAAATAGATCTATATAGATAGTACTAGAGCTTAAATTAGTATAATTAGTAGATTATATATAGTAGATTCTTTAGTAGTATAATAAATAATATATAGAAACTAAGCTTATAATTATTAGTTAGTAATATATTATTATTACTATTACTAATTATTATTTAAATAAAGCTTTCTATATAGAAAAGAATATTAGAAAAGTAGAAAATAAGAAAGATAATAATATTAATAATACTATATTAAATTATATATTAGATATATAGATAGAATATAAAAACTATATTATTAGTATAATATATATAAAAAAGCTCTAATAGTTAATATTTAGAATAATATAATAATAGATTAAGTTTTAGTAAATTAATTAGTAATAATATTAATTCTTTAGGTTTAATATATATAAAAGAGAATAAATAGTAGCTAGAAGGATAAAGTAAATACTAAAGATAGTAGAATTATATTAGAAAAGTAGTTAGTATTATTATTTCTACTAGTTATAGTAGATATCTATATATAAATAGTTCTAGATAATACTAAAACTAGATATAGTATTCTAAAGCTAGTAGAAGAAAATAATTTAAATAATTATAATAGAAGCTAGTCTAATAGTATATATTATAAATATAAATAAGAATAAAAGTTTAACTTTTATATTACTAATATATTACTTATCTAATAGAGTAATAGTTATAATTATACTATTTATTATACTATATATAAATATATATAAATAATATAAAAAAACTAGGATTTTAATATATATATAATAGAGCTAGAAGTTAAACTAAATTATTAGTTTAGTATTTATAATATCTAAATTAGTAATTATAAAGAGATTTTAAAACTTTATTTAATAGCTATAGATATAGTAGTTATTAGACTAAGTAGTTTTAAATAAATACTATATAGTTCTAAATAAAATTAGATAGTTCTAACTAGTATTAATAGTACTAGAAGAGATCTTATAGTTATAGAAAATATAATTAGTTTTTCTAATAGTAATACTTTTATTAAGAAAGAAAAATATATTTCTTTATAGGGTATAGATTATAAAGTACTAAGTATATATATACTATAGCCTAATATAATAGAAGAATATTATATATTTAGTAATAAAATTAGAAATATATTAAAATAGTAGAAATAATAAGAAAGTAGATAATAATAATATCTTTAGATTTAATTAGATTAAAAGAATAATAAT